CGCGAGATCCAGCTCGGTCTGGCGATGCCAAAGTAGGTCGTGAAATATCACCAGCTATCATTCATGTAGTTCGTGTAGTTCATGTTATATCACCAAACTATGGTTATATCACCAAACTATGGTTATTTCATGTTATATCTACTACATAAGTTGGTTGAAATAAACCACCGAAAAAGATCCATGAAAAGTTGTTCGCATACGATCGTTCGTTATATGGACCTAATCAACCATAGAATTCAGCGCCATATCTCAACTGAGTTCGCTTATCTTTTGGCCCCATCCCACGGGGATCATCATATTTCTGATGGAGAAACTTCCAGCATGGAGCGTCCAGTCCTCCAGCTTTGGTACATCTAGCACCTAGAGAATCCAACTCCTTTCATACAGAAAGGAGTGGCCATGAATTTTTCCACATCAGAAAATCCTGGTCAGTTTCTCCAAAAGTTGAGTGGTAAAACTGGCTACTGCACAGCTGACCACCGCTGACCCCACCTGACTTAAGCCTTGATACCGCCTCACATGCCACAAGACGGGCCTGGCTGCAGGGATCGATGGGCCATGAAAGAAATGCTTTTGGGATCTCCCGTGCCGAAAACAGATGGCTGATGCATGCTGATGCAAAATGATCCTATCTACCACCAAACATAACTGGTTGGTTGTGCAATAACCATCTTGAAAAATATGAAAGTCAATAGGAAGGATTTTCCCATATATTATGAAAATAAAAAATGTTTGAAACCATCAACCATATAATGTAAACAAGACTGAAGTATCCATCGGTCTGCCTCTCTGTCCATCCTTGATCTACCCATCCATTCTCACTACGTCACAGAAAAAATTACCGTGTTCTCTTTGTTCATCACATGTTCAAAGCCCACAATCATCGGAACGGAATGGGTTCCCACATTGGTTCCCACATTGGCCTCGGGTTCCTCGGGTCCCATTGAAGCGAGACGGGCTCACATGATGTCTTCCATCGTCATTTCTGCTTTCGACAGCTTTAGGGCCTGCGACTGGTGGATTTCATGGCGTAGACTGTAGATAAAATATTTTTTTATGTTGCTGTTTACTTGTAAAATACTATGTGCATGCATATTATACTATGTGTATATATATATATATGTGAGTAGTGGACAAAATTATATGTTAAATCTCATGCCATTCACATTTTCTGTGTCCTCCCCTATCGGTTGAGGAATTCAGTGGCATCACAAATGGGGTATCGGTATCGGGTCGTCGGTCGTCCCCTATCGGTTATGAAGGTTTTGTGCAACCTCAAGGCCAAGCCGAAGCAAGACTAAATAGTATTACAAAAAAAAATCTCGCTTACTCATATACTATACATACATTATCAATCATTATACATCCACATTTATTGAATCTCTCGTGCTGTGAATGACGGCATCATCCAAAGCGCACCGCCGCACCGCCGCACCTCCACAGCCTGGCGCAGGTAACACGGCACCCCAGGGGCTGAAATCGGAGTGGGCCGGTCATTTAAAAAAATGGGAAAGGATAGGTAATTATTGTATTAAATGATTGAACATGATGGATGAAGATGATAGGAAAATATAGGAAATACATGGGAAAATGACTGGAATCATGATATAAATCAAATCAATGGGTTATGTTTCATCAAATTAAGGTGGATATGAATATATTGGGAGCTGTACCAGGGTATGTGAATCAATCCACAAAGAAAGGTCGGCTCAACCGATAGAGACAATTTAAAGATATGGAAATCATCCAAACGAAGATGGGTTCCAAATTGGGCAGAAAATCGGGTTTCAAGCCGTTTCAAGCCATTATCAGTTTGTCAATCCTGATTTCGAATGCAAGGAAATGAAAATGATCTATTGAAACATGAAAAATTGATGATCTAGTGGAACCACAAAACCCTCTGATCCACAAACATGGCAATATGGCGATATGGCAATGGACGCTCCCAACTTTAGCAAAACAACTTTAGTGTAACTCTGCCCCTCAAATGATAAGTTGCTGTGCCGCAAACAGCACCAATCCCAACATCTTTGGCCAGGGATCGATCTATAACATTCTATAACCATCACATGTCGTAAATGATCGAATTGTGATCGATAACCATCAGCATGCTAATCAAAATCATAGCTATTGAGAATTTTACTTTGTAGTCGTGTGAACATATAGTAATGTTCAAAAATATTGATAACTATAAATGTTAGCGATAAGAATCATAATGATTATAATGGTTGTTGTCAAAGCCATCTAAAGCCATCTATAATAATTATATGTATATATATATATACACTATATGTAATATGTAATTAATATGTATGGTGCCAATCATGTGATAATACGGTCATAGTTATAAGTACTATTGTGATACTAGTAATAACAATAATAATGATAACAATCATCATCATCATCATCATCACCATCACTGAAAAAATAGTCATCATATAGTGAATAGTAGTAATCAATCATTATTTAAAAAACAAAAAACTTCGGTGGTATCCCCACAGCCGCAACGTTTTATTGTCACAAATCATTCTGAACCGTGCTGCAACCCAAGCACTGGAAATACCTCAGCTGCGTCTGCACCAAAGCCTCCCAGACCTTCCCCGGAACCTTCTCCGGAACCCTCTTAAACCTGACTTGCCTTTGCACCAAAGCTTCCTGGAACCTTCTCCAGAACCTTCTCCGGAACCCTCTTAAACCTGACCTGGCTCTGCACCAAAGCTTCCCAGACCTTTACCAGAACCTTCTCCGGAACCCTGTTGAACCTGACCAAAGCCTACCAAACATTATCATTCTTCGGAACCCTGTTGAACCCGACCTGGCTCTGCACCAAAGCCTCCCAGACCTTCTGGGGAACCTTCTCCGGAACCTTCTCCGGAACCTTCTCCGGAAGCTTGTTGAACCTGACCTGGCTGCACCAAAGCCTCCCAGACCTTCTCCGGAACCTTCTCCGGAACCCTCTTAAACCTGACCTGGCTCTGCACCAACTGTTGAACCTGACCTGGCTCTGCACCAAAGCCTCCAAGACCTTCTCCGGAACCTTCTCCGGAACCTCGTTGAACCTGACCCGGCGCCTGCACCAGTGCACACCGGAGCTATTCTGGGCTGAAGACCCCATCAGCTTACGCTGTTGGGGAAAAAAGCACTATGACAATATGGTAAAACTATCACAACAATAACTTACTGATGCTTAGCACGGAATGGGGGAATCATCCCATTCCTCCATTCCCTACTAAGCTGATCCCCACTGCCTCCAGCATCACATCCGGCGACGCCAGCGTCACATTCAGCTCCGACAGCAGCTCCGGCAGCTGGGCCTTGGTCACCACTGCGGCGGCATCCTGGCGTTGCTGGGAAACACGTGGCTTGAATGGAAAATGCCCGAACTAAATGGAGATGTTAATGGGAAAATACTGGAAAATATGGGGAAAACGATCGATAAAAGTGGTTTGGTTGGTGAAATACTTGGTAAACATAGAAAAAGATGTGAGGAGAAGCGATGGGGCCCAGGAAAATGATCAATAGTGGGTAAACACCACGTCGAACTGTTAGTTTACCTTAGGGTAATCACCCATAGAGATCGTAGTTACTGTATATCCCCACAAACCCAACAGTTAGCCCCACCTCGCAGGAATAATCATGGGAATATCATGGTGGAGTGGTTGGAGGGGGAGTGGAAGGTCCCTGGTCACCGGGTTGAAGCTGAACATTTCATGTGTAGCCCTAAAAACACCAACAGTATGATCTCCATTGCCAAATATCAGTGTCAAGAAAAGATGTCAGCAATCGGACATGTGCATGTTGATCATATTGTTTTGTATCACATGTCCATCATTTTTTCCCCGCAGAAGACAACTCTGCGAACCGCCTCCGGCAACTCCTCACGGGGCAACAGATCTGGAGATGTGGAAAACCCACAGTTTTTTCTCCAAGGAAAATTATTTACAATTCCTGGGTTTTTCCACATCTACGTTCGTTGAACATCGTTGAACAGGAGGGTATATGCTGCGAATATCCGAGACACTCCCAAAATAAGGTCAATGGTGGCTCATTATGGCATTCCTGAAAAGCTCAGGTTTGGGATGTGTGTCACTGCACAAGTCATCCTGAACGTATCGCTCTTCAAAACACCTAACTTATAACTCAAACATAATAAAATTGACTAAACTAAACACCTGAACCCTAGAACTCTAATTCTTAAACCCTAGAACCTTGAAAACCTAAAGATGGTGTTGGGCAAAATGAGGTGTTGGGCAAAGCAGGAATCAATTATATCCCCATTGCCTCAAATCAACCAATTAATTCCCACTGCAGTGGTGATCAATCCAACCAACCAAGGCCTTATACTATCAATGATACTGGTTGATGCTTTCAAGCCCAAAATTTTGGTAGCAGAGGATTTTACGGGACATGATTATGGCACATACCCAACAAAGGTAGGGACAGGAAGCAACAACAATCCACTGGTGGTTTCAACTCATCATTGTAGAGATGGAAAGGCGCCATTTTTTGGAGAGTTTCAACCAGCTCAACCAGCCCAAGTCAACCATCCATGCAGCTCCCAGTCCTGCCCCTTGCGAGTGGCGAGCTCCCTGACGCACAGCTTGGACGGGTCAAACTGTCAAACATCTCAGAACTCTCTTCACACGTTGGTCAAAGCCTCATGTTTGTTGCTTAGACTGCCCTTTGTTGGTCAACTCCCAATGTTCGTTACTGGAACTTTCAATGCTTGTTGCTCAGCAACCAGGATCATGGAATTCGAAGCACTATCCACTGTTGGTGGTGCTGCCAACACCCCAGATACAGGGGGCAATAATTGACTTCAGCTTTAAGGAAAGGCAAATCCCAAAGTGCTCCCATTGTGGTAGAAGAACGCTGGATTGAACCTAAATGAACGAATAAATCGATATAGCTAAATCAGTAAATCGATATAGACAAATGTTGACCCCCTAAATAGACAATAGATAATAAGTATAGACGTTAATCATTATTAGATAAATAGATCAACCCCTCCTAGCGGCGCACCTCAAGCGCCTGGCAACGAAGTGTGCCTCGCGTTCACGTACCGCCCGTACCAGGCGCACCATGTCGAAGTCGTTGATTCCGTACTCCTACGCGGATACTGGTGCTCCATGGAAAACCTGGGAAATGAACCAGTGAAGTTCGATATCTGGTTTATGTGACCAACAAAAACTTAGGTATATCATGGTATGTATGTATACTGTGTTGCTTTTATCATAGGTGAATAGTTGTTATAGGGTTATACATAATATATATATATACTATGCTATCGGGCCACCCCCACATATTTATATTTTATGTAATTATAGTATATATATATATATAATATGTTATCCGGGTCACCCCCATATGTTTACATATGTATATATATATATTATCTTATCGGGTCACCCACACATACACACATATATATATATATACTTTAAACCCCACAACGCTTCCACTCAGCCATCACAGCAGCAACAGCCGGCTGCTGCTGCTGCTGCTGGCTGCTGCTACACCTTTGAAGAGATGGAGGAGATGCAGGCCTCAGCAAACGTTCCAATTCGTGATATATATATATATATATCAGGTTTATCATTTAAATGGGATATACAAGATTGGTGGGAAATATAGTCATAATATATTTGAGATATATATACCAGATTTATCATATTTAGATTGGTGGTAACATATACATCATATATTTGAGATATATACCAGATCTATCATATTTAGATTGGTGGTAAAATATATTCATTCATATATTTGAGATATATACCAGATTTATCATATGTTCGATATATATGTGTAACCGAAATTGGTGGTAAAATATATTCATCATATACTTGAGATATAAACTAGATTTACTATATTTTTGGGATATATACCAGATTGGTGGTAAAATATATTAATCATATATTTGATATATAAACTAGATTTATCATATGTTTAAGATATACCGAATATTGTTTGTATCCCTGATTGGTGGTTTGTATCCCTGATACCATGTTAAAGGGATGATCAAGGGCCCTTAGATTGATCACTACTGGCAGTAAATTGGAATTTCAATGGATTTTCTTCAAACATGAAGATAATCATGGTTCCTTTGAGCGCTCACTACCGGTAGTGAATTGGGATGTTCTTCAAGAATTGGGATGATCGGGGTTCCTTACAACATTCACTACCAATAGTGAATGGGGAATTCTTTCAAACATTGGGATGATCGGTGTTCCTTAGAACGCTCGCTACCTGATATAGGGAGCTTTCTAACAGGGAGCGACCGTCGCAACCTCTTAGAACACTCACTATAGCGGTAGCGAGCGTTCTAAGGGCCCCCGATCATCCCAATTGTAGGAAAAATCAATTCAAATCCCAATTCACTAGCGGGCGTTCTAAGGGCTCTCCATCATCCCTATTTTTGAAAAATCCATTCGAATCCCAATTCACTACCGGTAGCGAGCGTTCTAAGGAACCCCAATCGTCCCAATTTTTTAAGAAACCCATTGAAATCCCAAGTCACTACCGGTAGCGAGCGTTCTATAAGGGCCCCCCAATCATCCCAATTTTTGACAGAATTACCCATTCACTACCGGTAGCGAGCGTTCTAAGGAACCCCAATCGTCCGAATTTTTGAAGAAACCCATTGAAATCCCCATTCACTACCGGTAGCGAGCGTTCTAAGGAACCCCAATCGTCCCAATTTTTGAAAGAATTCCCCATTCACTACCGGTAGCGAGCGTTCTAAGGAACCCCAATCGTCCCAATTTCTGAAGGAATTCCCCATTCACTACCGGTAGCGAGCGTTCTAAGGGCCCCCCAATCATCCATATGTATAATTGCTGCTTTTAAGATAGATAGCGTTCTAACAGGGAGCGACCGTCGCTCCCTCTTAGAACACTCACTACCGGTAGCGAGCGTTCTAAGGGAGGTTTCCTGTCGCTGGAGCACCCTCAATCTTGCGTTCTTCTCACTAAGACCCCAGCGAAAACACAAGATCATCCCTGGTCCGATGTTTGCCAACCCCCCCTTAGAACACTCACTACCGGTAGCGAGCGTTCTAACAGGGAGCGACCGTCGCACCCTGTTAGAACACTATCTATCTTAGGGAGCGTTCTAACAGGGAGCGACCGTCGCTCCCTCTTAGAACACTCACTACCGGTAGCGAGCGTTCTAAGGGCCCCCGATCATCCCAATTTTAGAAAAAATCAATTCAAACCCCAATTCACTACCGGTAGCGAGCGTTCTAAGGAACCCCGATCATGCCAATTTTTGAAAAAATCCACTCAAATCCCAATTCACTACCGGTAGCGAGCGTTCTAAGGAACCCCGACCATCCCAATTTTTGAAGAAACCCATTGAAATCCCAATTCACTACCGGTAGCGAGCGTTCTAAGGGGCCCAATCATCCCAATTTTTGAAAGAATTCCCCATTCACTACCGGTAGCGAGCGTTCTAAGGAACCCCAATCGTCCCAATTTTTTTAAGAATTCCCCATTCACTACCGGTAGCGAGCGTTCTAAGGAACCCCAATCGTCCCAATTTTGGAAAGAATTCCCCATTCACTACCGGTAGCGAGCGTTCTAAGGAACCCCAATCGTCCCAATTTTTGAAAGAATTCCCCATTCACTACCGGTAGCGAGCGTTCTAAGGAACACCGATCATCCCAATGTTTGAAAGAATTCCCCATTCACTATTGGTAGTGAATGTTGTAAGGAACCCCGATCATCCCAATTCTTGAAGAACATCCCAATTCACTACTGGTAGTGAGCGCTCAAAGGAACCATGATTATCTTCATGTTTGAAGGAAATCCATTGAAATTCCAATTTACTGCCAGTAGTGATCAATCTAAGGGCCCTTGATCATCCCTTTAACATGATATCAGGGATACAAACCACCAATCAGGGATACAAACAATATTCGGTATATCTTAAACATATGATAAATCTAGTTTATATATCAAATATATGATTAATATATTTTACCACCAATCTGGTATATATCCCAAAAATATAGTAAATCTAGTTTATATCTCAAGTATATGATGAATATATTTTACCACCAATTTCGGTTACACATATATATCGAACATATGATAAATCTGGTATATATCTCAAATATATGAATGAATATATTTTACCACCAATCTGAATATGATAAATCTGGTATATATCTCAAATATATGATGTATATTTTACCACCAATCTAAATATGATAAATCTGCTATATACATCTCAAATATATTACGACTATATTTCCCACCAATCTTGTATATCCCATTTAAATGATAAACCTGATATATATTATATATATATATATATATCACGAATTGGAACGTTTGCTGAGGCCTGCATCTCCTCCATCTCTTCAAAGGTGTAGCAGCAGCCAGCAGCAGCAGCAGCAGCCGGCTGTTGCTGCTCTGATGGCTGAGTGGAAGCGTTGTGGGGTTTAAAGTATATATATGTATATGTGTGTGTATGTGTGGGTGACCCGATAAGATAGTATATATATACATATGTAAACATATGGGGGTGACCCGGATAACATATTATATATACTATAATTACATAAAATATAAATATGTGGGGGTGGCCCGATAGCATAGTATATATATATTATGTATAACCCTATAACAACTATTCACCTATGATAAAAGCAACACAGTATAAATATATATGTATGTGTGTGTGTGTTCACTCTCATGATGTTCATTCCGAATGTTTAGAACCAGACATGAGATGTAGCTGATGTAAGCTCCTGCAGAGATGGTTTCTAGTGGCTCGACCAGATACTACCAAGGTCAATGGTATTTCGGGGTGCTAAAAAAATGGCATTTATGGGCATGGTGGTTCTAAGTCTCCATATAAATCCCAAAAAATGGGAGTGTAAACCCCATTTTTTATGACCTAATTTTCCGGATTTCGATGGGGGATCGTACTTACCAGTGAAACTCAACCACCATCATCGGATCCAACATCGGGGATTTACTCCTGCTTAACCATGCTGAAATGCTTATGATTGTGATAAATTTACACCACATTAATCATTATGTAAGAAAAAACTCAGTAATTTTTCGGTGTAGACATTTTCAGTCATGTTTTTAGCATGTTTTAGCCTTTTCATTTCATGATACTTGAATCTGATTGAAGAAACATCGCACCTCCTCGGTCTGCGAGGAATTCGCTTGCGCTTGGACCTGGCACCGCTGGCCACCAAGACTCAGAAGTTGTGGATATGGTGTCGATTTAGCCAGCAAGATGGGCACCACAAAAAATGAGGAACATAAAGATATGATACCGAAGAAAACTAAGAGGTTTAATAAATTTCCATGTGCTGGAGACAGATTTTCAATTTTGAAAGATCAAACATGATCAAATTACCCAAACTCCTCAATGTGTTTCATGCAATATCGTGCAACCATGATTTGCTCACTTGCCTTGATGATGGTTTAGGACCAAGATCGGTAGCTGTTTAGGATCCAGGTCTCAGAATCAAATGACCCCAATGTCCGGTAGAAATAGTTGGTATAAACCATCCTGAACTTGGAATCTGATCAATCTTGCATGAACCAAATCCCAGCCACAGCCACATCTCAGGATTTTCCCACAAATCCCCAGCTGTTCTCCGGCTGAGATCTTCATGATTTCTCCGGTCGTCTCGCCTTGAGGTCCTCGTGCCACACAGCTTCCAAGTCCTGAAATCCGACGGGTGACTCATCCTGCGTGTGCCCCAGGTTCTTGTGGATATTTCATCGACTTCATATTGGTAGCCTCTGGTAGTTTAACATAGCTACTGAAAATGGCAATGTTTAATGGGAAAATCAACTATGGCAATTTTCAATAGCCATGTTAAATTACCAGAGGCTACCAATTTCTGAAATAATTAGTGTCCCCAAAATCCCAAACTCTGTGAAGTACACTCCGGTAAACGTTTACATAGCTATAGAAAATCACCATTTTGAATAGGTAAATCAATTATGTCTATGGGGTATTTTCAATAGCTATGTGACAAATTACCAGAGGGTATCATATCAAAAAAAAACATTATAACCACTATTAACCGTCATTAACCATCATTAACCATCATAATCAACCATGATTATCCATTATTCACCATCCATTCATCTTAGAGATGTCATACCGTCAACACGCCGCCGGACCTCTTGAGAGATATCAAAGCCCAACCAATCGAGACCTTGGGCTCTGTAGTTCCCGCCGGTCTCCGTGTATGTATGTCTGTATGTCACTATATATATATATATATATGAATCTAATCTAAACTAATCTTATCTAAACTAATCTTATCTTATCTATCAATCCGTGCACGAATGTGTAGGTATTATTTATATATATATATATATTATCCAATGGATTCACACATTTCTGATGGATTAACCCATGGGGAAGTACTTAGAATCATCCCCAGTCTCCCCTTGGGAACGTCTCTTTAAAGCCCCACTCAGTCCAGGAGGCAAATGGGTTTCAGCCAGGTCATTTGTTTCAAAAATTGCCAGGTCGGTTCAAAAATGGAACAAACAACCTACACTCCCTGACCTCCCAACCCCTCTAACCCCCACCGAGTGGCAGCTTCTTGCCTCCAAGAGGTTCAGCTTCTCTCGTCCTGAACGGTCCTGCCGCGTGCTGTATGGTGAAATTCTGAGACCCGTTTGAATCTCTGATGCTGCTTGGGGATGCCAAATTGGAGTCAAATTTCACAGCGGTGCCTTTACCTCGTCGAAAAAACAAAAAATGTCATTTGGGATCATCATCTCGAATATGGATGACATATGTGGACATGTCCAAAATGAAACACCAAACACCAAGCAACCAAACATGTCAATATCTATGATGTGTGTGTCATTTTGATATGATTAATCAGGCTCTCAAATATGGTTGATACTTGAAACCACCAGCCGCCACCCATTTCGATGAATCCTAATCCTGGACCCTAAAACTCCTCACGTCGGAAGGCGGCCATGATCTCGGAATATTCCTTGCGTGTCTTGAAGATGAGGAAAGGTTGCAAATAGTTGGGAACATAGCCAACAAAAATGGAAAGAATGTTTTTGTAGGCTTGGAAATAGGGAGATCATGAAAATTACCCGGATTATTGAATATCTCATACAACCCAAAGTTGCAGGATTAGGCAAAACAAAAACCTTGGTACAACCACTTTACCCCTCTGAAATCTGACACGGAGCCCGGTGAAAGGCGGCCTTGGGTTTCATGACAAGAATCCGTTGTCCCTGACACGATCACCTTCATGAGCATAGCTAAAGTGCGAAGGCACTTTTGGTCAGGAATTAGAGGAAGAAATGGGTTTGTCTGAAAATAGGGTATATTCCCAATGAAATAGCAATTTAATAGGGATAATGATCATTAACCATTGGGTTTAGGGGTACACTATTTTCAGACACACCCAAATGTTGATGAAGTTCTTGACTTTCAACAGCTGAAGCATCAACGCACGGCAGAAATTGCTGCCTGCCCCGGTGGTTTTCCAAGGTCCTGCAAAGTGAAGCCCAGCCGGTAGCGCATGATGCCTGTTGTGCGAGCTTGAGAGAGCATCCTAGTCGGGTTTCAGCTGAAGGTAGAACAAATGGTTCCTTTGAGTCTATGATGTTTGAGCCATATTCATAAATATGGATTCTGAAGCTCTAACATTTGTCTTGCAGAAAAAACAAGTTCGTCTGGTGACGCGTGATGAGGAAAGCCCAAGTGAAGCCCTTGACAGCAATGGAGGCTAGAGAGAACTCGCAATTTACAAATGGATTCCTGGTTGGTGGTTGACCTACCCCTCTGAAAAATATGAGTCAGTTGGGAGTCTTATTCCCAATGTATGGCAAAATAACATGTTCCAAACCACCAAACGGATTCAACAGGGGGATTTCCCGAGATTTCACCACTTAAATGTTGGGTCACGTGCCCATTCGCCGATCCCCCGCACCTAGGATCTTGGCAAAGTTCACAAAGGTCACCTCAAGGTGTTTTTGCGACTTCCCGATGACCCGATGACAGTCACCAAAAAGATCAAAAAGTAAATCCCCACTCGATATGGTGACTTACTATCTATGACGATTTCATGATGTTTCTTATAGAAATCATGAAATATGACTGTGCTGATTATTGTTGTGTCTTAATCGTGATTATGTTCTTACGATTTCTATTATTATCATCTATTATTGTCATCATTATTATTGTTTGATAAAAATGTGTGGATCTTGTTTTGATGATGTTTTCATGATGTACAGTAACTTTCTAGATTTACCATCTATTAATCTATGGTGAATAATTGGGCTTTCATTTATCTTTCTATCTTTTTTGGGTGAGTACTACATTTACCCCTTTTTTCAATGGGAAAAAGTGACCACCATGACCACTACGTCACGTGTCGCACCTCCATGGCTCGAGGACAGACCTCCAAGAGCAGCTGCTCCACAACGCCTGACATGGTAAATCGGTCAATCGGGAAATCCAATGGGATTTTTACCATGGGATTTTTTACCATGAACAAAATGGTATTAAAAATGGGATTAAACCATGAAAATATGGGATTAAACCATGAAAAAATGGGATTAAACCATGAAAAAATTGGATTAAACCATGGAAAAATAGGATTAAACCATGAAAAAATTGGATTAAACCATGAAAAAATGGGATTAAACCATGAAAAAATTGGATTAAACCATGGAAAAATAGGATTAAACCATGAAAAAATTGGATTAAACCATGAAAAAATGGGATTAAACCATGAAAAAATGGGATTAAACCATGGAAAAATGGGATTAAACCATGAAAAAATATGTTTTTTTTACCATGAACAAATGGGATTCAACGTTGATTAAACCATGATTTGGTCATCCAATCGCCATGGTCAATGGGATGGCGACGGGCGATGGGGATTTTTGTCAGAGGTTGCGTCATGGAAAATTAGCCATATACATTGGGTGAAATATCCCCAAAGATACCAGGCTAGGGCAAGTCTGGAAGATACCAATCTTTTTCCGGGACAGCTTTTCAAAACGAGAGGCGTTTCTAATAAAAATAGATTAAGTTATCCCCAAATTATCCAAGTGGTTCTTGAAAATGTTCCCTTACCTTCCGGTAGTCAGTCTGGCTGGAAAAGCCCCCATAAAACGATGATTTTCCCATGGAAAAAAAACCTCCAGAAATCGCTCGATTCCCCAGCCATGATGGAAATCACGCTGAAAATCACCGTGTTTTCTTGCTTAAATTACAATTACTGTAAATCACAATATGTTCCATGATATCTGGATATTAAAAAAGGATATTTTAAAAAAACACAGCAGCACCTTCTGGATGATGTGTCTTATGAAAACGATCCCTGGATCCGTCCGGGTCCTTATTCGGTCCTTATAGTTCCATCCGTAAATTGCTGGCGATCTATCCCCATGAAAGCGCGCCATCTATGTTTGGCGACAATTCCTACATGAACCAGAAAAAAGAGACCTCTATCCCATCTCATTAACAACTAGATGGTTGATAGGTTTCCCATTCATATGAGCTAGTTCATAATCCCCAATAACTAAGGTAGCCTCACTTCCTACAATACCTAATCAACAAGTGTATAAGTGTATGTTAATTAAAGAGTAATTATAGAGACATTTAACAACTTCCTACAACTAATATAGATATAACACTGATAATAGAAGTGATATGAGTATGGGGTCAAAATGGAGTACCCCAATTATTGGATGTTTTTAATACTAAATAGCTGTGGTCCCTAAGGTCTTGAATTTTGACTCATACCCACCCACACTATCTAGGTAAAAATAACATAATTTAATAACCTGAAATAAGTCTATGTTGGGATAATTCCTCGAATCCTAAGCACCATTCCAGCGAGAACAGTGAGCTTGGTATACCCATTATTGGCATGTTTAACTGAACTGTAATCCTACTGTAAGTGATAGTATGGTTACTGTAATACATGTCAATAACTATATCCAAGGAAAGCCCATATTACCCTCTGGTAAACTAACAGTTTGTTATTGAAAGTCCCCATGTTTAATAGGTAAATCAACAAACTATAGATGGCAATGTTCAATATTTTTCAATAGCAAACTGTGAAAAATTACCAGAGGGTATATGAACTTCCACCTTTGATAAAATAAGCTGAGATGGTATATATTCAGAACCAATGGTATATAACCATAGTATCACTTATAACCACTATTAACCATCATTTGCACTTAGGAAATAGTTTTAGGAAACCCCCCGTGATTATAAGTGATATATATTATAATCAATAGCAAACTGTTAAAAATGGTTATATACTCTGGTATTGAAAATTGCTATTGATAATAATTAAATTATAGTCATTGTCGGCCAGTAAGCAGACGTTCGGCCACGCCCGGTGGTTAGCAGATCCCAACATTGGGGGTTCACAGTAACCGGCACTGAAATGTATTTCTGCTTACTGCCCCCCCTAACACCCGAAAAGGAAATCTGCTTACTGGGGGGTGTCCCGGGGTCCCAAGTCAAACCTGGCCGTGATGGAGCACTGGAAAGATCTTTTTTTCACGAAATGATGGTTCCCTGTCCAAATATTGTACAAATCCAAGGACATGTTTACCTCGGTTCCTGCAGGGCAATGATATTCTGGATCCATACCTGGTGATCCTGTGTGCATTGAGCAGACCCACATGGCATATTTTGCAGGTTGGCAGGCATAGAAGGCACAAGTGACAAATTGTTACTTTTTTTAAAGAAGGTGGTTCCCTCCACGCCCTGCATTCTCCCACAGTCTGATCAAATACTGCTCCCGCTAGAAAACAAAAGGGATTATATATTATATCCAAGAGAAATTAAACTTCCACAAGTTTTACAAACTGGTTGGGGGCGATACTCTGTGGCTGGAGGAAAAACAAATTAGCCCAGGGCCAACATTGGAATGATGACATTGCAACATGCACCCCCAGTAAGCAAATTCTATAAATTTGGCTTGCTGCAGCTCTGTGGGGGGAGGAAAAACCACCTACCCAGTGCAATTAAATTGGCTGTTTCCTTTACTGATGGGGGTGGAGGTGATTAGCCCAGAGCCAACATTAGAATCATGACATTGCGGGATGCACCCCCAGTAAGCAGATTCTATGAAATCTGCGTACTGCAGCTCGGTCATTTTCATGTGGCTGGCTGGATTTTGAACTACTGACCCACATGGCGTAGTAGCAGGTTAGCAAGTAGAGTAGGCAGAAATGACACAAAATTGGAGGAATTATGGTGCAAGGGTATTCATTTCGTGCAATTTTTGGGCAAGATACGTGTACGAAATGAAAAACACTGGGTAAAAAACACGGAAAAACATTCGACCAGTAAAAAAGGCGAGCCCCTCAAACTGATCAATCTCTTAATTACTATTTTTGAGAAAGAAAACTTGGTTTGAGAAGGTCACAAAGGGTTCCCCCCCTGCGTCCTCCCACAGTCTGATCAACTACTGAAATACTGCTCCTGCTAGAAAACAAAATTCAATAGAGTTAAACAATAAAAATAATTAAACACTATTTATCTTCCACAAGTTCTACAAACTGGTTGGGGGACTACAATCTGCGCGGGGGGAAAAACCACATACCCAGTGCAATTAAATTGGCTGTTTCCTTTACTGATGGGGGTGGAGGTGATTAGCCCAGAGCCAAGATTAGAATCATGACATTGCGAGATGCACCCCCAGTAAGCAGATTCTATGAAATCTGCTTACTGCAGCTCGGTCATTTTCATGTGGCTGGCTGGATTTTGAACTACTGACCCACATGGCGTAGTAGCAGGTTAGCAAGTAGAGCAAGCAGAAATGACAAAATTGGAGGAATTATGGTGCAAAGGGTATTCATTCTGTGCAATTTTTGGGCAAGATACGTGTACAAAATGAAAAACACTGGGAAAAAAACACGGAAAAACATTCGAACAGTAAAAAAGGCGAGTCCCTCAAACTGATCAATCTCTTAATTACTATTTTTGAGAAAGAAAACCTGGCTTGAGAAGGTCACAAAGTGTCCCCCCCCACACCCTGCGTCCTCCCACAGTCTGATCAAATACTCAAATACTGAAATACTGCTCCTGCTAGAAAACAAAATTCAATATAGTTAAACAATAAATATAATTAAACAATATTTATCTTCCACAAGTTCTACAAACTGGTTTGGGGACTACAATCTGCGCGGGGGGAAAAACCACATACCCAGTGCAATTAAATTGGCTGTTTCCTTTACTGATGGGGGTGGAGGTGATTAGCCCAGAGCCAACATTAGAATCATGACATTGCGAGATGCACCCCCAGTAAGCAGATTCTATGAAATCTGCTTACTGCAGCTCGGTCATTTTCATGTGGCTGGCTGGATTTTGAACTACTGACCCACATGGCGTAGTAGCAGGTTAGCAAGTAGAGTAGGCAGAAATGACAAAATTGGAGGAATTATGGTGCAAAGGGTATTCATTCCGTGCAATTTTTGGGCAAGATACGTGTACGAAATGAAAAACACTGGGTAAAAACACGGAAAACATTCGACTAGTAAAAAAGGCGAGTCCCTCAAACTGATTAATCTCTTAATTACTATTTTTGAAAAAGAAAACCTGGTTTTAGAAGGTCACAAAGTGTCCCCCCCCACACCCTGCGTCCTCCCACAGTCTGATCAAATACTCAAATACTGAAATACTGCTCCTGCTAGAAAACAAAATTCAATATAGTTAAACAATAAATAATTAAACAATATTTATCTTCCACAAGTTCTACAAACTGGCTGGGGGACTACAATCTGCGCGGGGGGAAAAACCACATACCCAGTCCTATTTCTTTTGTTCCTTTACTGATGGGGGTGGAGGTGATTAGCCCAGAGCCAAGATTAGAATCATGACATTGCGAGATGCACCCCCAGTAAGCAGATTCTATGACATCTGCTTACTGCAGCTCGGTCATTTTCATGTGGCTGGCTGGATTTTGAACTACTGACCCACATGGCGTAGTAGCAGGTTAGCAAGTAGAGTAGGCAGAAATGACAAAATTGGAGGAATTATGGTGCAAAGGGTATTCATTCCGTGCAATTTTTGGGCAAGATACGTGTACGAAATGAAAAACACTGTGTAAAAACACGGAAACACATTCGACGAGTAAAAAAGGCGACTCCCTCAAATTGATCAATCTCTTAATTACTATTTTTGAGAAAGAAAACTTGGTTTGAGAAGGTCACAAAGTGTTCCCCCCACACCCTGCGTCCTCCCACAGTCTGACCAAATACTCAAATACTGAAATACTGCTCCTGCTAGAAAACAAAATTCAATATAGTTAAACAATAAATAAAAATTAAACAATATTTATCTGCCACAAGATCTACAAACTGGCTGGGGGACTACAATCTGCGCGGGGGGGAAAACCACATACCCAGTGCAATCATTTCTTTTGTTCCTTTACTGATGGGGGTGGAGGTGATTAGCCCAGAGCCAACATTAGAATCATGACATTGCGAGATGCACCCCCAGTAAGCAGATTCTATGACATCTGCTTACTGCAGCTCGGTCATTTTCATGTGGCTGGCTGGATTTTGAACTACTGACCCACATGGCGTAGTAGCAGGTTAGCAAGTAGAGTAGGCAGAAATGACAAAATTGGAGGAATTATGGTGCAAAGGGTATTCATTCCGTGCAATTTTTGGGCAAGATACGTGTACGAAATGAAAAACACTGGGTAAAAACACGGAAAAACATTCGACTAGTAAAAAAGGCAAATCCCTCAAACTGATTAATCTCTTAATTACTATTTTTGAAAAAGAAAACCTGGTTTGAGAAGGTCACAAAGTGTTCCCCCCCCACACCCTGCGTCCTCCCACAGTCTGATCAAATACTGAAATACTGCTCCTGCTAGAAAACAAAATTCAATATAGTTAAACAATAAATATAATTAAACAATATTTATCTTCCACAAGTTCTACAAACTGGCCGGGGGACTACAATCTGCGCGGGGGGAAAAACCCACATATCCAGTGCAATTATTTCTTTTGTTCCTTTACTGATGGGGGTGGAGGTGATTAGCCCAGAGCCAACATTAGAATCATGACATTGCGAGATACACCCCCAGTAAGCAGATTCTATGAAATCTGCTTACTGCAGCTCGGTCATTTTCATGTGGCCGGCTGGATTTTGAACTATTGACCCACATGGCGTAGTAGCAGGTTAGCAAGTAGAGTAGGCAGAAATGGCAAAATTGGAGGAATTATGGTGCAAAGGGTATTCATTCCGTGCAATTTTTGGGCAAGATACGTGTAGGAAATGAAAAACACTGGGTAAAAACACGGAAAACATTCGACGAGTAAAAAAGGCGACTCCCTCAAACTGATCAATCTCTTAATTACTATTTTTGAAAAAGAAAACTTGGTTTGAGAAGGTCACAAAGGGTTCCCCCCACACCCTGCGTCCTCCCACAGTCTGATCAAATACTCAAATACTGAAATACTGCTCCTGCTAGCAAACAAAATTCAATATAGTTAAACAATAAATATAATTAAACAATATTTATCTTCCACAAGTTCTACAAACTGGCTGGGGGACTACAATCTGCGCGGGGGGAAAAACCACATACCCAGTGCAATCATTTCTTTTGTTCCTTTACTGATGGGGGTGGAGGTGATTAGCCCAGAGCCAAGATTAGAATCATGACATTGCGAGATACACCCCCAGTAAGCAGATTCTATGAAATCTGCTTACTGCAGCTCGGTCATTTTCATGTGGCTGGCTGGATTTTGAACTACTGACCCACATGGCGTAGTAGCAGGTTAGCAAGTAGAGTAGGCAGAAATGACAAAATTGGAGGAATTATGGTGCAAAGGGTATTCATTCCGTGCAATTTTTGGGCAAGATACGTGTACGAAATGGAAAAACACTGGGTAAAAACACAGAAAAACATTCGACCAGTAAAAAAGGCGAGTCCCTCAAACCGATCAATAATTACTATTTTTGAGAAAGAAAACCTAGTTTTAGAAGGTCACAAAGGGTTCCCCCCACACCCTGCGTCCTCCCACAGTCTGATCAAATACTGAAATACTGCCCCTGCTAGAAAACAAAATTCAATAGAGTTAAACAATAAATATAATTAAACAATATTTATCTTCCACAAGTTCTACAAACTGGTTTGGGGACTACAATCTGCGCGGGGGGAAAAACCACATATCCAGTGCAATTATTTCTTTTGTTCCTTTACTGATGGGGGTGGAGGTGATTAGCCCAGAGCCAACATTAGAATCATGACATTGCGAGATGCACCCCCAGTAAGCAGATTTCATAAGCTCGGTCATTTTCATGTGGCTGGCTGGATTTTGAACTACTGACCCACATGGGGTAGTAGCAGGTTAGCAAGTAGAGCAGGCAGAAATGACAAAATTGGAGGAATTATGGTGCAAGGGGTATTCATTTCGTGCAATTTTTGGGCAAGATACATGTACGAAATGAAAACACTGGGTAAAAACACGGAAAAACATTCGACCAGTAAAAAAGGCGAGTCCCTCAATCTCTTAATTACTATTTTTGAGAAAGAAAACCTGGTTTTAGAAGGTCACAAAGGGTTCCCCCCCCACACCCTGCGTCCTCCCACAATCTGACCAAATACTGAAACACTGCTCCTGCTAGAAAACAGAACTCAATATAATTAAACAATAAATGTAATTAAACAATATTTATCTTCCACAAGTTCTACAGACTGGTTGGGGGGCGACACTCTGTAGGGGAGGAAAAACCACATAACCGGTGAAGTTAACATGATTGTTTGCTGTAGTGGTGGAGGGGGAGGTGATTAGCCCAGATCCAACATTAAAATAACTTTACTGCAGCTTGGTCATTTTCATGTGGCTGGCTGGATTTTGAACTGCTGGCCCACATGGCATAGTAGCAGGCTTGCAAGTAAAGCAGGCAGAAAGGACATAAACATATACAAAAATAACTTAAGCTGAAACTTTGGATTTTCTTTTGTTTTGAGCCTGGAAGAGGCGGTCATCAGAATGGCAGGTGCAGTAAGCAGATTCAAATCGATCATGAACGAAAAAGTTGTGAGTTTCTGCTTACTGGGGGTCCTTTTCTGGATGCCTGATATATATGCATTTCTTATTTGCCGGATTTGGCCCTCGAGCGAGTGCAGTAAGCATTCAAATCTCTTCTTACTACCCGTCAATGACTATACTATTTCAAAGATATCAACTACGTGCAAATAGCAAAAATTAACATACTATCTGTATTTATACATTACTAACATACTACATACTATATAAATGTTAAATTACCAGAGGGTATAATGCCTCATCATTATCCATATATTCACCATCATTACTAACCATGGACCATCATTAACCATCCATCAACATTCACTAATCATCATTAGCCATCATTAACTATCATTATCATTACTATCATTATTATATCACTATCTATCATTATCCCTATTATCATTATATTATAATTATCTATCACTAACCATTATTATCATTATTATTATCACTAACCATCATTAACTATCATTATCATTACTACCATGATTATATCACTTGTATACTTATCATTAACTAATCCATCAATTATGAACCAATGGTATATAACTTTTTATAGTTGTATCAACATTCACTAATCATCATTATCAAGGATCTATGAACCAATGGTATCACTAACCATCCATTAACCATCAATCATCTGCTCATCTGCTGCGCCTGTAATGGGCGTGAAGCCAGCGCGCCGCAGCACCTGCGCGAGCTCGGCGGCGTCCACGCGGCCGGAGCCGTCCACATCGGCCTGGAGATGCACAGTGAAAGATCACTGGGATTTACTGGGATTTACTGGGAAAACCATAGGAAAACCATAGGAAAACCATGGTAAACGTTTACAAAAAACTATGGTCTAGATGGCCCATAGAAATAGATGGTTTACCGAACTTAAAAATGGTGATTTTCCATGGCAAACTGTTAGTCATAACCAGAGGGTTTTAATAGATTTTATGGTGCTGCGCAATCAAAAATGGGGATTCTATGGAATCAGTTGCAGCTTAATCCCATCACCCTAATAGAATATTAAACACCTCGAAATGGTTTCAAACATGTGTAAATTCCCTATTACAGAACGGTTTGTTGGATGCATTTAACATTAGGGGAAGAGGAATTTAGAAAACGGAAAAAGTCAATTACCACATTGATGTCTTTCAAGAAGCCCAAAATTGTAGCAGTGTGGCAATTAGATGAAATTATGGGTTTCAGTTGCGGGTGCATATGTATAATTATGTATATATATATATACCTCTCTCTCTTTGTGTGTAGATTGTATACATATGTGTAGATTATCTAGATCGTCGGCAATATGTGAATATTTGGCGATGTGTAATTTGTGGGTATCCATCTTTGGGCCATCTTTTTCAGGTCAAACCTCTGGTCCACACTAGAATATATAACATATATATATACTGGTTGGTGGTTGAGCCCAACCCGAATGGTTAATATACTGTTAATAATGGTTAATATATGGTCAATGATGGTTAGTAACCTTTTCTGGTTGGTGGTTGAGCCCTACCCCTCTGAAAAATGATGGAGTGAGTTCGTCAGTTGGGATGATGACATTCCCAACTGAATGGAAAGTCATAAAGTTCATGTTCCAAACCACCAACCAAATATATATATATATATATAAAGTATACTTTAATAATATAATATAGATATAATAGTATATGTATGTTATATATTGTTATATTATACATGTGGTAAAGTAGGTTTGTTCACCCACATTGGTCCAAATATGGTATAATCGTCGGCCCATGATCACGTCTTGTATCATCATGTTCGACTCTATGATCGACAGTGGGTTGACCTCCGAGAAAACACTGAGGCTTGATACTCACAGCATTTTTTTTGCATGAAAACACCAATCAATTCATGCTATCTATCAATGTTGCCAATAGATGCCAATAGAACAACAGAGACCAACGGTTCCCAACATTCTGAACCCCAATTCCTCTTAGCATCTTAGCTTTGTTTGGATCTTGCGAGGTCTGGCAGAACAGAAGGGCCTCCGCAAATTTCATGCGAACGTAGTTCATGTGGCACGCTTCGTACTCGGCCAAAAACTTCGAGAAATCTAACCTGGTGTCGGGACACCGCTGACAATGTCCAGATCCGCTTCATGCCATATGTTTTTTTGTGACATCTGAAATTGAAGTCTTTCTCAATGGAAAGGCCCTATAGGCCCATCTTTTCGCGTTGCAGAGTCGCCACCTCCGCGGCTTCGCAGCGGCTCCAGGGCTCCAGACGCGTCCAAGAAGTTCCGGTCCGAGAACTTGTCCTTCACGATGGCGCTGACCCACTCGTTGTTGACCTCCACGTGACCTGCGCGGAGTTCTTTCAACCACTGGGGACGGCTGACGAACACGGCCACGGGTTAACCCATGGCTGTTAGAGATGGTTATATTATGTCTGATTATGTTCGATTGTCGGAATTAAGTCAAAGTGTTCAGTGTTGGTTGCTGCCAGATTTCTTTTTGGCCACGGGTCAAGACGGTAGACCCAGGGAAACGACAGAAAGTCGGCCATCAGCTTCTGGGGAGCTACTGAGGAGCTACAAATTTAGTCACCAAAATGCCTGTTGTGCCCATGAACGATGGGATGACTGCCGGTGTACATGTTTATTCTGCAACCCAGCATGACTCCGTTCTGAAACTGACTTGCAATGACCGGATGGAACCATAACGAACTTGGGCTACCCAGTTCGCACTGAAACGTTGATCAAGCGTCCTTTGAGTTGCAAGAATCCTATAGACCTCACTTCAAGGGAGACATTTCCGACCTGTGCTTTCTCCATGCGTAATGCTTTTCAAACTCCCCACATGGGCCAGTAAAATCCAGTAAATTTCTGCAAATTTCAATGACAAAACTTCCTCCAAGCCATGGATTCCGTGTCCCTGGCCTAACATCTTCAAGGCCTTGTAGAGATCTTCACCTCCCAGCGATCGTGAAAATATCAGGCCATTTTTTTTTCCATTCAAATGTTCCCAGATCCAATGAAATCCTGTTTCATCCATGAATTACCATTGAATATCCATTAATTACCATTGAATCCTATTGAATTCCATTCAATGGTTGTATATGATCGACCTAAAAAATCTCTCTGTCCGAGGCACGGTTGATCTCACCACCCTCCGCGAAAGCTCGGAAAACATCTCCTGGGCGGTAGGTAAATGTGTATATATATATATATACATATGTATATATATATATATATGTATATATTATAATATATATATATATGTATATGTATATCTATATATATATATCATTTGCATGTATAACCAATGTACGTGTGTACATATATATATATGCTAGCCCCCCCAAAACCGACGTTTTTGAGAGTTGGCACATTTAATATATCTATGATCTGATTTTTGCAAGTTTGCTTTTTCAATATCTTCTACAACATCTGGTATTTGTACATAACCTTTAGGATTTGCAGCAATATGATTAGGGGAATAGATGGATTGAAATTGTGCTATCTGTTTTTTTACAACAGAGTATAGCATATGATCTTTATCTTTTTTGATGAATACCACTTTTTGTAAGGTAGTTTGTTTGTAATTTTGTAGTGACTATTTAATTATCTGTAGCAATTTGAAAGGTTTTAGCTTCTACCAAAGCTGAGCTTTGTGCAAGATTAGATGATATAGTTAGTGCATCTTGAGATTTTACATTTCTATTTGCGTTAGATGTTGCAGGTAATAAAGGTGTATATAAAAAGTACAATAGATATGTATAAGACTGATCTCCAGTTATATGTTCTAGACATATTGATTTTATAATGCAATTACCTTTTGAATCCTCCTACAATTTCATAACATTCCACCAAGCTTTGCATAGTAAATTGACAATAATCAATCATATTCTCATTTGATGTTAATTGTCTTATTTGTTCTTGTGAATCTACATTATTTTCATTAGTTTTCTTCAGCATCTACAATCTTTTTTGGAGAAGAGTTGATATTTTTTGCTGTAATAATTCATGTTTAAAATCTGTATAATGTAGATGATCTTGTAATTTCATTGCTTTAAATCCAGGAGTGCTTGAGTTAGATACATTATTTGTTAAACAAAAATGTTTTTGATGATAACAAATTAAAAAGTGAAAAAAAAAAACTAGATCGGTTTTTAGTATATGTGTCATATTATAAATTGTCTTACTTTTTATAGTTCTTAATTTTGTGATATGTTTATAGGTATTAAAGGAGTTTCTAGCATTGGGTGAATATGTATTTTTACTTCGGAAGATCATATATTTTTGTTGGTTCTTTCAGCTCTATATTCTGAGGATCTAGTTTTAAATTACTCAACTTATCTTTTAACATGAATATTTTTTCAGAATGATTTGTTTGTATTTTTGAATGATAATATTCTACCATTTTGTGATGTGAACTTTGATAGCATTTCAGGGTTTTTATAGTCTATTACCTTTTTTAAAACATAAATTGCAGCCATGGTTTTTAAAGAAAGTCTTCTTTGCCGATCTACCTGCAACCCTTTCTAATACATTTTGTTGGGAAGGTTTTGATTGATCTGTAGATAAAGAGGTATTGCTATCGGATGAGTTCATGTATTTTTACCTATTATTGTTTAATTTTCTTCTTTTTGTTAAATAAACTATATACTGCTTAAGATCGCAGACGGTTCTTGTTCAATTTATTTTACTTTTATTATGATGAATCTAATTGCCTTTATTGCATTTTTTGGCCAAGTTGATTGATTTGCTTGGAAAGCAAAGACAAAACAATGGGCCTTAGAATTTTGTTTTACAGGATAAGCAAGTTTGTTTATTTGAGGAATGTCCTTAGCAGACAGGCCCATCAATTGAAATAAATTGCAAGGAATTGCAATTTCTGGTGACTAAAATTATTCTAAGTATTTGGATTCAAGATTCAAGGTTTGCAAACGTTTGCAAACGAGACTGGCTCAGGATTCAATATTCAAGATTCAAGATCCAAAAAAAACTTCCTGAATCCCGGGGCTAGGATCAGGAGAGTTTCTGGATGCAAGAAGTCTTTTTTTTGAATCTTGAATCTTGAATCCTGAGCCAGTCTCGTTTGCAAACGTTTGCAAACGGTTCTGGTGACGAAATTGCTCTAAGTACCTGGATTCAACAGTAAGACAACAATTAATACACACATATGTATATATATATGGTACCCCCCACTGGAACTCAAACTGAACACGGTAATTTGTCCCAGAAGCGTTGCGACCTCAAAAACGTCGGTTTTGGGGGGAACCATATGTGTGTGTGTATACATATATATATATGCGCATGACCAATAAGTGCATATATATATATATATGTGTGTGTGTGTTCAATCATACCGGTATATACTATATATTACACATATATAAGATATGCATACATATGCTACACTTACATACATTTATGCAGCATGTGTGTCCATACATCTACACCTATAATATATATATATATATACATGCACGTCTCATATGTATTCTTACACATACAATATGATATGTGTATATTTCTATGTAGATATATAGATGTATGAGTATGATCATATATTACTAATCATATACAATGTATGATTGCATATATATATATATATATATTATATATAAAATACTTTAATATGACTCTCTACATACATAGACATATATATATATATAATCAGAAATTATATAAATTAGATAATTAATAACAGATACAACTACCATGATATCCATATGTACTGTATATGTTTTAACAAACGCTACACATTTTTCGCATCCACCAGGGGCAGGTCCCAGTCACTGGAGCGTGCCGTGTCCACGAAGCTCTTCACCACCTCGGCCTCAGGCTCGATGGGCGTCTGTGGCGACAACGGACCTGGGAGACGATGCCCGGAAAACCCAAGGAATTTCTTTAACGGTGAACTACCATAGTGGTTTAATGGGATGCAAACAATAGTGGTTTAATGGGATTTACAGTGGAGAAGATCTATACATTTCTGGGGGTTACCCTCTGGTAATTTAACGTAGCTATTGAAAATGGCCATTTATAGTGGATTTTCCCATTAAAAATGGTGATTTTCTATAGCTATGTTAAATTGCCAGAGGGTACCATCTGGTTATTTAACATAGCCATGGAATAGATGGCCCTAATCGAAATAGATGATTTTCCCAGAGCTAGAAACCTCCATTGATGGGATTTTCCATGGCAAACTATTAGTCATAACCAGATGGTTTCACATGATGGGATGGAGATTTCCTTGGCGATATGTCAGAGGATACCCGGATAGGTTTTTTCTCGCTAAATAACTATGGAATAACAAACTGGAAAGATCCGCCATTTTTAATGGGTAAATCCTATGGAAAATCACCATTTTTGATGGGTAAAAAGTGGTAAATCAACGAACTTTCTAAATGGCCATGGCTTCCAGTTCGCAAACTGTTGGTTTAACAGATGGCTTCAATAAAAAGAATGGGGAAATGGTTGGATATTTCAACTAACAAATCATCACACGAAGTGGGGAAGCGATCTTCCGAGTGACTTAGGGAATGATGAAATGGATGGATATCTTAGAATGGATGGAAATGGGGATGGCAATAGAAATGGCGACAGGGTATTTATCCATTTAAAATGGGGAAATGGATGGAAAATTTAGAGTAGGGAAATGGATGGAATGGAAATGGGGAAATTTTGGAATGGTGAAATTTCAACTAATCATAAAAGTTTGGAAATGTTAGGAAGTAAGAAGAACGTCTTAAAGATTTCATGGAAATGTGGATAGCAACAGAAAATGGTGTGTTTTTTATCTACACCAACTAACGTAGAGGTTTGACAAACAAAAAATCAGAACTTCAGATTCATAAAATGGGATAAGATGGGACTTCAACCTGCAAAATGAAGGATGTAACCCGAAAACCAAGAACATGGTCATGGGGTATCAGAAGCATCGGGTGTTTTCGTCGCCGATGAGCATAGATGATCGGACTGCTCTGAAAACATTGTGTCAATATCATCACCAGGATTTCTATTGCGGTTAATACCAACATCAACAATCATACATTGGTATTGATGAAATATCATCAGCATTTCTATTCATCATCACTTTCTTTTTGTGAAAAATATTCCTGAAATATCCTCCAAATCCATCGCGGGTTTCGATGTGTTCCCTTTCCGGCTGAGCGTGCCGGACTGTTCGCCCAAGCATCCATATTGGCTGGCACTGTCGGAGAGGGCCCCGAAGGACTCTTCAGCTCCTACGCAGTCCAGGATAGACTTGTGGTTCCGGTCACAGATTTTACCGTTTTTATGTGGGGTGAAACTTTTGCATCAGCGATCAACTGGGTGAGTACTGTACCAGGTGTGATCCAGTGTTCAAATTGCTGAACCACAAAGACATAAGATCCTGCTTGGTCATCTCGTTTGGTTCATCCGTAAAGGCGGACACACATGGTGCAAGATCCCAAACTAATAAAAGTGATGACCCTGATATACTCTGATTAACCAGCTATTTCAGATTATTTTAGGCTACCTAGGGTACCAAAATTAGATCAAAATATGATAAATTTTGGTGACCATAAAACAAAAAAATGAAAATGGTACATAGGTACCCTACATATATATATATATTATGTAATTATATATTACATAATTATATATATATCATAAATATCCATAGATATCTATAATATGATACCATCCATATTCACCCATAAATTATCTAAAAAAAATGGTGACGACCAGGCCGCCAGGCCTGTGGCGTAGTGATCTCTGCGGGCCGTTGCCGTTCCATGGCCATGTCCGGCAGAAGTGGAGCCTGTGAAGTTTCAGCTGTTTGGAAAATCCCTGCCATTCGTGATGTGAGTAGATCTGTAATCTATAATGTATATATATATATATACATATAACTATTATCATCATTATTATCAGTATCATTATCATGATTATTATCATGATTATCACCATTACTTTTGGCTTTTGTTATTGTTATTATGGCTATTACTATTGTTTTTATGATTAAGATTGTTATTATTCATCCTTACTATGTCTGTACGTACGTACGTATGTAATGTAATGTGAGTAATGTGTTGTGATGTGATGTAATGTAAATGTTAATGTAATGTAATGTAAATGTAACTGTAATGACGATAAAAATAATAATTATTATTATTATCATGACTATGATTGTGATTAGGATGTATGTGTATGTATGTATGTATGTATGTATGTATGTATGCATGGATGGATGGATGGATGGATGGATGGATGCTCGCACGGATGTACGTATGTACGTATGTACGTATGTACGTATGTACGAATGTACGTATGCACGTATGTAAGTATGTAAGTATGTAAGTATGTACGAAATATCTATCTATCTATCTATCTATCTATCTATCTATCTATCTATCTATCTATCTATCTATCTATCTATCTATCTATCTATCTATCTATCTATCTATCTATCTACTTATCTATCTATCTATCTATCTATCTATCTATCTATCTATTTAGCTATCTATCTATCTATCTTTCTTTCGTTCTTTCTTTCTTTCTTATCGATCTATCGATCTATCTATCTGTCGATCTATCTATCTATCTATCTATCTATATATATATATCTATCCATCCATGTGTGCCTGTATCCATGTGTATATGTATCCATGTGTATATGTATCCATGTATGTATCTATCCATGTATGTATTGTACTGTACTGATCTGTATTGTACTGTACAGTATTGTAATGTCATGTAATCTATGTGTGTATCGAAGCCATGTATATATTGTTTTACACGTCAATTATATTATATACACTACTGGATACATATATATTTATATATATATATATATATCATGCACATAACTTAACACTGACACATACAATATGATTCTTTATATGCCCTTTGAAGTATCTAGTGGATATGATCATAGATGCAAAGACACGGATTCGCAAACGAGAAAGCATCCATGGATTCCCTTTCAGTTCAGTGCATTCGAATATTCGCCTCCTCTTCGGGTGGAGGCTCGGGCAGTTCCTTACGCGTGGCAGGGCCACTTGAAAGCTGGTTCGAGTGGGGCTCAAAAGGGGGGGTCAAAAGTCAAGATCCCACTTGATCTTCTACATGTAAATGGAAGTATGCACAAGGATTCCAGATGCGTGCGCAGTAATTCCGTATCCAGACCTTCTGCCAACTTGAGACCTAATCCAACCATGCATTAACGAAAAAAAATACCTTTTCCATCTCTCCGCCATTCGGCCAACCATCGACATCATGCTTCCAAATGCAGAACCCTCCCCTGAGTGGTCGGACAGGCTCCCAGCGGGGTATTACCGTGCCCTTCCTTTGTTTCTTCAGTTCCTGCTGTCTCAGTGCATCCTGCCGCCACGAAGCACGAAGATTGCACAAATGTTTGGGATGCAGCGAAAGGACAAAATACCAGCAAGTAGGTGCCATGCGGCAGGTTGAGCCCTCAAAATGTTGAGGAACCTGTTGCTGTATGTTTTGGCAGAATCTTCCAGTAAATGACGTCTGATCATCATGGTTTGAAGCCTTTCCCCCAATAGACATGTCATTGTATTCCCACATACGTCAGACCATGTGACCCACCTTCGCTACGAGTGATTTCAATTCCTCTGACGCTTCAGAACTTTCTGCTTTCGCCTGGCAGCACTCTGTCCAAAATAGGGAGGATCGGTCAGCAATGATTCCAGCAGGACAAAACGATTGGGACATCAGCAGGTCATGATTTTATGTTGTGTATATTTCGAAAATATAGGTAGACATGTGTATGTATGTATATATATATATAAGTGTAAATATGTATGTACACAAGCATATAAGATACACGTTCGCGATATACAAGTATAAAACGACGACCAATTCTGAATGATCTCGACCCAACCTGGCCATATCTCGCCGCGCCTGCAGTTCTGCTGGCAGCTGCTGGTAGATTTGGGAGGCGTGCCACTGGATGTACACATCGGGGTCCTCCTAGCAACGGCAGAGGCGCTGATCCTCGGTTGTCCAAGAATTGGGGGATGGCCAAATTGGCCATTTTTATCCATTTTTGAGGGTTGGCTTGACAAAGGTGCACGGTTGAAGTGTGCAGAATCGAGAACCGAGGATCGAGGATCGAGAATCGAGAATCGAGAATCGAGGATCGAGAATCGAGGATCGAGAATCGAGGATCGAGAATCGAGAATCGAGAATCGAGAAGCGAGGATCGAGGATCGAGGATCGAGAATCGAGAATCGAGAATCGAGAATCGAGAATCGAGAATCGAGAATCGAGGATCGAGAATCGAGGATCGAGAATCGAGAATCGAGAATCGAGAATCGAGAATCGAGAATCGAGGATCGAGGATCGAGGATCGAGAATCGAGGATCGAGGATCGAGAATCGAGGATCGAGAATCGAGAATCGAGAATCGAGAATCGAGAATCGAGAATCGAGAATCGAGAAGCGAGGATCGAGAATCGAGAAACGAGAATCGAGAATCGAGAATCGAGAATCGAGAATCGAGGATCGAGGATGGAGAAAAACAAGATATATTACAAGATTGATAGGATCGAGGATGAAGAACACTAGCGGCGTGCGCAGTCAAGGTTTGGGAACAATATGCATACGTAGTGTTTGGTAGGCATGTGTGTGAACGGGGCATAGTTCAGTACCCTCATTGATTCATGTCGGCATGTAAATAATGAAACAGTGTACCCTTGGCAAGCCAACTTGCAATGGTGAGGGTCATCGCCTCAGCCGATGCCCGTGATGCCCATGATGCCGCTCTCAGAAACAAACCAGAAGCAAACAAGAGACTTTGACACGTTGAAGACCCAGTTCAAAAACGTTCAAAAGATTCCGATTGGACGCAGTTCGTATCTCTCGGTGGAAGTGTAAGTGCAGTGAATTTTTCTGTTGTAGTCATATTATTCCTTGGAATATTGCACTTTTCAGTCGCACATAGGACGACGCATCGGTTCCAGTCACATGTTCCTCTCCAATCACAGGACAGGCAAAGAATACGTTTCGCTCAGATGCATGACTAAACTCTACCAATTACCAACACTTCCAGTCATCATTTCATTCTTCTCTGACTTTTGTGAGTTTGCGTGCGTGACAGTGATTGCGAAAGCAAATCGGTCGGATAGGAGAAACAGGGATAGCTAGCCTCTTGCGTGTGACCTTTCCGGGTTTCCAGAAAATTAGGCTTACAGTGTTGACAGCCAAACCAGTCTTGAACAACTTGTTGCTGTAGGCAGGGTTGGCTAGCCACCCTCACATTGACATGTTGGTGCGGCTGTTTGGGGCTGGCTAGCCGCCCCAGTGTTTAATTTCAACATGATCTAGAGAGGCAAGGAGATGAAGGTTTGTCACAAAGTTCTCTTTCTATTTCGCCTGCTTGCTGTGGTCGTCTGATGTAGCGGGTCTGAAAGTTTGATGTGGGGCATCTGGGAGATTTTGTTAGTTCCAAGATTAGTGATTCTGGCTTCTGTGCTGAGCAGCACACATCCAAATGTTACCCAATGTCTTTGCAAACTTGCAACCTCCCGGCACGTTTCACATACTGTCTTTGCTCTCTGGCGTTGCGGCTCAGTTGCCCGCATGGGCGTGGAGGGCCATGGCGCATTTCTCATTGGAGCGTGTGTTATCTCCTGTGCCGATGTCTGCATTTCCAGCTGTTTCAGAAATTCTTTCCTCGATACCCTCGCACCTTTCCCCTCCATTTTTGCAGAAAGTGCTGGAAACAAAGCATGAAGTGAATCTAAGCCTGAAGCAAGTGGAGAACGTTTTGTGGAAAATCGAAACCTTCTTGCCCTGCATGGTGAGTGTGTCTCATCCGTTGGGACAAAACCCGTTCCAGTTAAAGAAGTACCAGGAGCTTGTCCCAGATGTTCCCACCGTCTGCGTGCCGTCTCTGGTAACGTCATGCGCTTGCTGTGGTGGTGCCTTAGAGGACAAGGCAGGTAGATCTTCTTCCCGCTTAGTGAACAATTTGCGTGGAAGTGATGAGATGGACAATCGTTTCCTGATTTTCACTCAAGCAGCTGGCGTTCTCTTTGCGGAGTTCAAGGAAGGGTTTTGCTCTGCTTGTCGATTGTATTTTCTTGTTTGCTGGCAATATGAGAAAAAGGCTGGGGCCTTTCATCACATGGACAAGCTGCACTGCTGCGGGTTACAGGCGGATGTGGATGTGTTTGCGCCTAGGCATCGCTAAGGTTGCATGTTTTGTGCTTTCATTGATGAAATTTTCTGCGGGTTATGTTCATGACGGACAGAAGTTTGAGTTTGGCTGACACGCAGTTGCTTCACATCCCCAGTGTCAGTAGGCTTGCGTTGTTACGCTCAGGTCGTCCCTCGTTATCGAAGCTTCTTCGCCGTTGAAATCGGCTTGCTGCATTCAATCACAGATGAAATTTCCAATAGCGGCGCGACCTTTTCCTCTGCTGTGCTGCGATGGGTGAAGCAACACCCAGAAGAGGGCCAAGTTCGATTGCTGCAAGGAAAGGACCTGACCATGCTAGAGCGTTGCCGCAAACGGTTAGAAGAGGCCTGGTACTTATATCACTGCAGCAAACTTAGCTGCGAAGCTTTGCGTGGCATCCAGTGGCGCTTGACGCAGGAGAATCATGAGATGTGTAGTTGCTTGGTTTTCAAATTGCATTGTCAGAAGGGAATGTACAGTTTTGGGGTACGAGCAAATGGATGATAATCAAGTAGCTGCGGCGCGACAATCCTAGTGTGACACAAATGAGTTACATTGAGCACTTCCAGTTTTGTAGGGTCGTGGAACCAGGTTTTTGCTGTTGTGTTGAAATTGACGGAGCTTTGCCAGTAGGGCTGAAGATATTTCCGAAACTGTGGCAGGACTTAGATGGCTTTGAGGCTTCCTTGTCCCAAGTTCTACCTCATTTGCGGAAGCAAAGGCTGAACAAAGTTGCAGAGCACATCCACAGCTGCCCCATATGTCAGCAATGTGTGTGTGTGGATTTTATTGGATGGTAAGCAGGGTGCTCGGCGATTCATCTGCGCCGGTCTAGAGGGTCATCGAACATTTGCAGATCTAGGGGTGTCAATTTACACTGGATGCATGAATCACGCTGGGCCCAACGATGTCTTTTGCAAGCGCTGTTGCCCAAGCAGTTTGCTGCAGAGTGCTTTGATTCCACAAGAAAAAGTGCTACAAGTCGAAACTTGTCCATCTGAAGACGGTTTGTCAGTGGAGACTTGGTACTTGGTCCGTTGCAAGTGTCCACAGAATGGCATCTTCGAAGCACCTTTGCCCCGCAAGGAAGTGCGCGCAGATCTACTGGCAGAGTTCGAGAAAGGGGCCTTGCCAAAAAAGCGAGATCATGGTAACCTGCGTACTCAATTTCGCTGGCTGAAGAGTGCTCGCATGGTTCGTCAAGCTGCCTTGAAGCGCGCTGGGCCATGCAAGCCAGCGCGCCGTGGAAGAGCCAGCAAGAAGGAGGAGGTCAAAAAGCTTCCGGGCGGATGGCTGTCGCAGGCGTATGTCGCATTCCTCCGCGACACTGACAAGTCTACAGATGGCAGTGAGCTTGCTGAGTGCGGTATTGATAAGGAGAAGAAAACTTTGAAGCGCAGGCGATGCACAGGTGGCATTTTAACTGCTACCCTTTCCTGTGGTCAGCTGGTGGATTGGCTAGAATTACCTCGTGGAGAAGCCCTCGATGTAGTGTACACCTTTGTTCTGGATGTGATTAAAGAGCTCTCGACCCGGCAAGTGCAGGTGAAGTGCGTAGGGTATGACAACGCCTGTCGGCTCCTTGCAATGGCTGAGCGTTGTGAGAATTTGTGCAGCCCATGGACCAACAAAGTGACGGAGTGTCGAATTGTCTTGGATAGGTTCCACAAGGGAAACCACTCTTGGTGTCTTCGTCATCGCCCGCAGGCGCCAGGGAAGTTAAATAAGAGGAATACAAACAAAGGCAATGTGAGAGAGAAAGTGTTTCAATACCGAAGCAGGTTGGAAGTTTGCGCGTTCGCGCTTAGCATTTGCCTGCCAGGTCATGTAGTTTGTTCAGCAGTGAACACCCGTAGCAGTACCACCGTCTCTTTTGCATCCCTAATTTGGGTCACCAGCTCATGTGTCTTTGAAAAGGATTGTGAAAGCATGTGCAATGCATTGGCCGCGTCCATTCTCCTCAACCAAATGCTGCCAGGTGGATCCAGATCATCCAGACAACATTCCTTTGCTGCAGTTTCGTAACTCGGAGAGCTGTGAGCAGTTGAACGCATGGATCTCTGGTCGCACTGCTGCTGCCTTGAACTTGACAGGCGCTAGATTTGGTGTCTATTGGCATGCTCTTTTTGCTGAGCACAATGAGTGGCTGGAGCAATGTAGTGCGGCGCGTCGTCGTCGCTTCCAGGCTGGCTTCTTGAAGAGAAACCCAGACAAATGCGAAAGCAAATCGGTCGGATAGGAGAAACAGGGATAGCTAGCCTCTTGCGTGTGACCTTTCCGGGTTTCCAGAAAATTAGGCTTGCAGTGTTGACAGCCAAACCAGTCTTGAACAACTTGTTGCTGTAGGCAGGGTTGGCTAGCCACCCTCACATTGACATGTTGGTGCGGCTGTTTGGGGCTGGCTAGCCGCCCCAGTGTTTCATTTCAACATGATCTAGAGAGGCAAGGAGATGAAGGTTTGTCACAAAGTTCTCTTTCTATTTCGCCTGCTTGCTGTGGTCGTCTGATGTAGCGGGGCTGAAAGTTTGATGTGGGGCGTCTGGGAGATTTTGTTAGATAGTTCCAAGATTAGTGACTATATGGCTTCTGGACTGAGTGGCACACATCCAAATGTTACTCAGTGCCTTTGCAAACCTCTAACCTCCCGACACGTCTCACACACTGTCTTTGCTCTCTACTTTCTGGCGTTGCAGCTCAGTTGCCCGCATGGGCTTGGAAAAGCCTGCTCATTAGCCGGCGGAAGGCTAGTTGCAATAAAGGCAGCTTGTTTGGGTCCAACCTTTTTGGCA